AGAAGCTTATCAGGGCTTTGTAGCTATGCCCGTGGAAAAACATTTAACATGGTTCTCTTTTCTGGTGAGCAGCGTGATTTCTGTGTACGGCACTATTACCAAACGCTTTCTCATGTGACAGTTTGACAACACTTCCGCGCTGAATACAGACTTGATCTCAACCAAACGCCATCAGTGAACATAATTAAATGCTGGGTACGCAAATTTCAAGCTACAAAATCAACTATTAACCCTTGTCCCATCGGTCGCCATAGAGAAGCGTGTTCTGAATAAAATTTCGAGCGAGTTCGAGATGCTGTAGAGGATAATTCACATTGATCAGTAAGAAAACACGCTACTGCTTTGAATATACCCCGAACCATTATTCACCGCATTTTGAAACAGGATTTTAAGTTACACCTGTACAAAATTCAGTTAGTACAGGCATTAAAAAAATACAGCATGGGTATCAGGAGTCTCATGACTGCAATAAGGCAGTTATTTCGTGGGAAAGTCATTTCCAGATTTGGTGACACCAACTTTCTTCCGAGAAGCCCAGACCTAGCTCCACTAGACTTTTTTGTATGGGTAGTCGGGTGTACAACAATGCTCCTGCTACCCTCGATCATCTGATGCATAATATTCGTGAGTAAATTGAAGCCATCACACCATAACTATGCCATCGAGTCTTCGCAGATGTAAGGTTTCGTTTGGTGGAGTGCTGGCACCGTAGAGATCTACATCTGGATGATGTTATCTCTGACAACTAATTTCCCTGAAGTGTACAAACTGGTGTTATTGGGAAAATTGCTGTAAATAAAGCCATTTTCCTGTTTTGTTCGTTTTAAAAGTGCATTCCTTTCTGGGACACCCAGTATTTAGACACATGATCACTGGTCTAAAATCTTTCCCACAAGAACAGTCGTTTCAGTACCACCCACTTCTTGCTGATCTAGTCCGGTTAAACCGATGTGCTGATAAAAATTGTTCGGTTAACCCTTTCAGTGCTAGGCCAATAATTCATATTTCGTAAGACTTTTTTGTTTGCCTTTCAATTCCATTACCTTCTGTTGAATTTTAACTGTAATGTTGTCACTATTCTTTTATATAATACGTGAAGGCGATTTCTACAAAACACTACTCCTCCGTTAATAATGGACAAATTTTTACAAACGACGTGTCAAAATAAAGTATTTATTGTGTAGACGCCCCCTTTCAACAATTCCTGTAATAAAAATCCTCGGGCTTTGTCCCACAGGCCATCAAAGTTGGAGTTTCTCCCATAAGGTTAACATGGGGGAATCTAAATATTTAACTGGAAACTTTGTCCCCACTAATTTAAGAGAACGGCTGGGCGTAGAAACTTGGTAGATGTGTCCAAAGAAAGGTATTGGTCTGTAGATGAGTTATTAAAAGAAAAACTAAGCAAAATCCCTTAGGACTCTGCCCCAGAAGCCTTTAAAGATCCCTCCACAGAGTTGTTTACATTTTGGCCATGTGAATAATACTTTTTAATGAAACAGCTGTTCATTTTTAAATTGTATTTCAAACAACACACATTTATTGGGAGTTACTGATGAATTCTACCAAATAAGTATTTGCAATGTTATTTTCTTATTTTAAAATAGATTTTCTTCTTTATCATGTCATGTTTTGCAATATAACGTTCCATTACGAAATCAGTGGAAAATCCTTTTATCACAGCAATTCTTAAATAATTTCTTATTGAACTATCTTATATCTATTGTACGGGTTGGTGTCTGCCTCTTTCACCACTTTTGCCTACATTTTATCATATTATTCTACACATATCAAATATTTATGTAGAAATATCTGCTTTTATCGTGTCTAAAAAAATCCAAACATAGAAATCTTGCCTAAAATGGTACCCATCTTGACAAATTATTTGCACCTGCCTATTTTACGGACTTTGGCGGGGTTTTGGGGTCAGGTTGGTAACGTTATTAAAAAAAAACACAACATTTTTGCTGTAAAATATGATACAAAGAGAAAATACTATTTAAGCAGCTACTATCATGACAGAAAGGTCATATTCCTTTTAAACTAGATCAAATAATCCTTTATAAGATACGGTGATTAACAATATGTAAACGTCAATATATACGTAACAGCCAATTTACAGGCAATTTACAGTATTTTTGCTTTTTGGAAATGTCCTATTGCTATGTCATTTGCATTATTTGTTGCCAATGAAGCCGCCAAGACCATATGAACTAGGAGGCCCCTAACAGTTCAAGAATAAACGCCAACTTCACTTTAAGTATTCCACTACACCTAACATTCCGTAGAGAGATTATATTGACAACTTTATGTTATTGATAAGGCTGAGACAACTTACTGACATCCCCAATGTCAAGGAATTCCACCTTCAACAGTAACCCCACAATCAATTTCTCAAAACTATGCTAAGAGGGTTCATTCATTGGCACAGAAGTACGATATGAACTGACGCGACGTGACGAAGGAAAAATCAAACTTACACTGTAACGGATATAACTCCCTTTGAAGTTAGAATATGTCTTCCCAAAAAATATTTTCTTTTCAAATACAATCATATAACACTGATGAAATCACGGAAGTGTTTAACTACAAAAGATCCACCAATACGATTTTAATACTATTTAAAGGTTCTTCCAAAGGAAGAGATACCATATAACATACTAATAATAACTCCGATGACGTACAGTATAGAAAATATTTTAATCATTGAATGATCAACCAAATTTGGCAACTAACGCAATTAATACAATTATCGTTTTTACACTTATTACTCTTTAAACAATGCTCAAAATATGTATATGTCACCCAATTTATCGCAGTTGGATGAATTAACGTAAGCCTTGAAAGTAACCGTTGATTTCGACGGGTTTCACCTAGTTTTATTAATTAGGCTAATTTTGAATAATAAGACAATAAGAAAATATATAACAAAGATAAATCCCGGTATTTGTAGTAAACATTAAATAAAACTTGGTTTTTGTTTTAATTTTCCTGGTTTTCCTATAAATTTTCATGTTCTGATAGCATTGTTTGAAACCAAAATCTCATAAAATCAAAAGACATGTAGTTTACAATGTGATATTGAATTTAACTTCGATTTAGTTGGACGAGGTTATCGTAATATAATATAGTCATTTTAGGGAAAATAATGTTTTGCAGCAAAGTCTCAGGAACACATTTATGATCACTGTTGTGTTTCAACTGAAAAATCTATACTATTATAAAAAAGAGGTGGTGTCTGTGTGTGTGTATGGGAAAAGTAAACGCGAAAACTACTGGTCGGATCGGGCTGAAATTTGGCATGATGATAGCTCACATTCCCGATTAACATATAGGCATATTTTTATCCCAAAAATCCTTTCGGGCTCCGCCCCAGTGGCTCTGGAGTTTCCCATGTTAACCTTATGAGAAATGAAATTATTGAATCTTAACAGCTGTTTCAATTAAACAAGTTGGTTCTGTTCTGTGATGTTCAATAGCATTAAAGTTACAAGGATTACCAACAGGGTGCAGCACTAGCACTATTATTTCTTTTACATTTATGACAACAGCAAAAGGTGAGTGAGCGTAGCGAACAAACTTCAACCTGGAGGCGAGTGAGCGTAGCGAACGAGCTAACCTGAAGGCAAGTGAGCGTAGCGAACGAGCTAACCTGAAGGAAAGTGAGCGCAGCGAACGAGCTCCAACCTAAAGGTGAGTGAGCGTAGCGAACGAACTTCAAAAAGAACCGAAATTTCTTAAACCATGTCCTCACTCATAACTGCTATAAGCATTTGATACTTATATGCCAACCCCGTACGAAGGACGGGTACTCTGCTAGTATCATATAAATAGTCCGAGACTAACTAGTGCTGCTACCTAGTAACGCATTGAACAACCATATGTAGCGCTATCTGTTCACAATCGGTGGGGTCAGCTTAAATACCGGTTTTTGACTCCTCAGTCTTCAAGCACAGATAGCCGAGAAGGCTAGAGCGTGTGTCACTTGGCCAGTGGTATTCGTCTGCTCGGGTTTGATTCCCGTCCTGTGTGGCAAATAATTGGTGACCTGTGTGTTTGTAGCGATATACTACAACCACTGGGGCATAGTGAGGTGTTCATAATCCTTGGTTTAGACATACACCTCAAAATCATCGGATTGGGCGAATCTTTTAGCTAAGTGGTTGTTAGTGTATCCTATGAACATGCAGGTCACCAATGGCCGTTTTGCTACTATTTGTTAAAATAACCTTCCTCTCTATATCCCTTAGAGATTTTTTTAAACAACGATATATCGTTTCATAGCACTGAAAGGGTTAAAGAGGTGTAATTTCCGCCGAGTCTAGTCCGGTTAAATCAATGTCCGGTTAAAAGGTGTCCCTGTATAAGAGTGAGTCTCCTGTAATGTTTTACCTAATTTTAAAACCACTTAATAATGGCTCTTAGAAATGAAACAGGTAAATCTTTCATCCTTTTATCCAAATTTTTTTTTCATGACACAATCATTATTAGGAGTAAAAGGTTTAAAAATCTGTAGTAATTGTTGATTGAGACTCATGAATGTTGGCTACTATCCTTCTTTATAGTAATTTCAATGTATCAAAATTAAAAACTATATGGTGTAAATACAAACCATAAAAAATACTGGTAACCGCAAACCGTACTGATTTTGAACAGAGATACAAAACAATGTACTGTACTGAACCGCACCAATCTTAAATTTTCTATACGATACACTCTTACTAAATACTAGTTTGAGATAAACATTGTTATATAAACTAAAATGTACAGCTTTGATCGATGAATGTTACTGAGGGGGGTAGAGTGCTCTCCCAATGGAACTGACTCTTGCTAGCCTACATAAGTACAGCTTGTTCTTACTAGGATGTGGGCGGGGGCTGTGTGGCAGTGGGCTGCGTACAGGACTGCAGTGAGCACTCCGACTCTCCGACACTCTCCTTCCATCCAAGGAGGCTCTCCTGATGGGGGACAGCTCTAGGTCCAGCTGAGCTACATTCACATATACAAGCGATTGCTAAACATCTCACAGTAAATATATTTGTAACTTGTCTCAACCAATTGGTATGTAATGAAAAAACTTAACTTCACTATAGAGGTAATAGCTCTATATTTGTAACTGGCAGAGAAGTCTGTGCTTCCTGCAGTACTTTGGTGAAACACAACCAAAAACTACTTCATACTGCAAAGACTATTATTACCTTTTTAACAATGTTTTTCCTATTTTAATATTTTTTTACCAGGATTTAAAAAGTAAATATTTTTAGAAAGTTTTATAAAAAGACTTGTTTTTTAATGTCACTTGGTATCATCATAGCTTAGTAAAAGAAAATGATTTATTTTTATTGATTTGTCCTGTAGACAAAGCAGTAACTACCAACATTTTAAATGGAAATAAATTGTAGTAAGTTAAAAAAATTTAAAAACCTTGATTATCTAAATCACTACAGTCCCTGATTTGTTTGAATAATTAACCCTACACAAAACATTTTATAAACTGTGTAAAAAAGGTGAACTAAAGAATAATGTAGATGCAACACTACCAAGGACAAAAACTGAGGGGAACAAGCAGAGCACACATCTAAGTAGGCTTAGTTATTTTAACCAAGAGTTTCAAACAGAAATTTGTAAAATTGGATTTGTATTTCACTCTTGCACAGAAGTAACATAGGGATTTTTAGCAAACAAGCTATTTTGTAAAACCCTCATTATATCACAGGAATTGGCAACCTATCTTAAATTTGTTAGGCTGACTGTATATAGGGAAGAGATGACGACAATGCTATATAAAGTTACATAATTTTAGTAACAGACAGGATTCACATGATTACTGTTTTGTTGAGGAATTTTGTAACCACACAAACTGAGCATCATAAAAATAATGTTCTTCCAGTTTCAGAGATATTAAATTGAATTTTTGTTAGTTTTCACACTTATATTGATGTAGGCCTATACTACCGACTCTGTTTGGACAGAGATAAAGTCGGGGGTCCGAGGGAGAGGATAAACAAATCCAAAAATCCTACCTGGATACTAAACTCACTAGGGTACATATTTTCCTCTCACAATTGAATGCTGCATGATTAGTAGGCAGAGGAAGTGAAGTCTTAACTAGAGTAGGATTGCTGTGATCTCCTTCATCCATACAAAATTCACAGTCATTATCAATCCTTAAAAAAAACTATTATACAAGAGGATAAATCCTTACTACATTATCTTTAACCCATTGGCATACCAAAATTACTGCACAACACAGGAATTTGTATTTTTTTGCTCACTTAGTGGCTTACAACAGCTTTAAGTTTCTTATTTATTATTACTTGGTCTTAATTATAATTTTCCTCCTCTAGGGATTGGAAAAAATTTCGCAACTATCTATATACCAGTCTTTCTCACTTAATCGTAAAAAAAGACAGTCGCGGCATTTTTACAAAAAAGATAACCTCAAAACTCTCACTTGTTGTTTACTAATGTTTTTGTTTTCAACAGGTTAGGCAATAGAACCAAAAATGCACACAATAACTATTGCAGATGAACAGAAAAATATTATTAACTTTACAAGTGCTTCGATCCCTCAATGTCTCAGTATGGGACAGTTCTGTCTAAGAATGCCAGAGCGCATTAGCAGAGACGGAAATGTTCTGTCAAAGAATGCCGGTTGGTTAAGCAGTCATTGTCTTTTTGTAGGAAATCCATTAATCATTTGAAGTTCATATTAGTCATTCATTTTATATTATTACTTTACATTAATATTATTTTGCGATTTCGGGAGTGCTTTAGTTTAAGAATATCATTTATTTTTCTGTAAACAAGGTTTTACAGCAAGTAACAATAAAGTGTAAAAAGTCAATACAAAAATACACCTTTGATGTAAAACTACAAATTTGAAATTTTACTCACCAAAATTCTTAGATTTTATGTTCAACACTTCAGTAGGAGTGGATGACTGAACCAAGCCTGTAAGAGAACATTAGCCTTATCTGGTGTTCAAAACATCATCAATCAATTAATTTTAATATACAAGTGCTTAATATCCTTTTAAAGCTCTGGTCTTCAGAATAAAACTACGAAGGAAATGACATTTATTTCCTAAGTACGTGGTATATTAAGAATTATGTACAATACTTGTTGGATATTATGGTTATAAACCTAAGATAGATCAAAATTGCTAGTTTGAATGGACTTCTCCTTCCTCAATGTTATGTTCAGTTATACACTTTAACCAATCTATTTTTGGGAAAAAAGATTTAGATATTGTTTTTATTTTTAGAATATTTAAAATAGCGTATCTTTAACGGTAACAAAGCTATTTAAACTCACAATGGTGGTGTAGTTTGATATGCCACAGAAGTGACACTGACAAGTTACTCACTTGACTCCTGTTGCTGTGCTATACTCCGCAGCTCGTTCATGCTGCGAGGCTTGTTGCTGCTAGCCGCGGAACTGAAGCTGCTGTCAGACGCACTGCTTGTCCTGTCATCCTCCACTCCTGTCTCTAGGCACTCGGTCGAGCTGGAGCCATCAAAACTCTCAATGAATAACAAACTACAAGTTGTAAAATCCATTTTGTACCCAGAAAAAGTAGGCTATTAGTAGTAATCTTGATGTTCCTAATTGTAGGCTGTCAAGTCTCAAACAGTTTCCTAAGTCTCTAAACTGCAAGTATCAAAAACTTATAACCTTGCTGAGCCATGAGCAAATGTCCTCCCATTGTGAAATACACATACAACAGCACATACAGATAACATTAACTATTGCTCGATGGCTAAATAAATTATTAAATTTTATTTTTAATGGATTAAAACTATTCACGGGATTTTAGTTTTTAAAGAATAAGACTTTAACATTAAAAACCAATTTGTTAATTTAATCATTTATTATTTTTTTTTTACAGTTGAAAATTGTTCCAATAAAAAAGTTGGATAATATAACAAAGATATAAAATTTTTAAGCACTTTGTATTTTTTAGACAATATGCATTAATAAACTTCAGGCTTCAATTTCATTCAAAGAATATTAAGAATTAAATTACTCCTAAAAATACCACAAATCCATTTTAGGATAAAAATTGAGTCACATTGGTAGCATAGTATCCCATTTACACAAGTAAGCCTGTGTCTTTTGTTTCAATTCTCTAGGATCGGACTAAGATGATAATTGAAACTATAAGCAACATCAGTGTACCGTTTAAGTTATCAAGCCCAAACAAATGTGGAACAAAACTTTAAATTAAGAATATTATTGGGTTTAAGGTTTTGATAGCAAGATTCAGAAAAAATTAAAGTTCTTTCCACTCGATAGTTGATTGTCACCAAGGTAAAACCCCGAATTCTTTAAATCCTACAGGCACAGACATAGAGGATGGGTTTAGCTATTAGTAGCTCTTGTAAACCTAACAACATTGTTAGACTAGGATTCTACATGATAACATATTAGATAAAATTAATTAAACATAACACAAACCTTGATATTGCTTGATGTAACAAATCCGAAGCAGGGAAGTCTAACTTAGTAAACGTAGTATTGAATGTTGAGTTCCTCTGTGGAATCTTCCTACTTAAGTTTGATGTGTTATTTACAATTTTTTTGGCCAGAGTTCCATTTAAAAGCGAACTGTCAATATCATTTTTTGTAAAAGTTCCATTTAACCGTACACTGTTGTCGTTTGTACTTCTTGTAAATGTGCCATTCAAACGTGAATGATTCATAAGTGAATTAGTCTTTGGGATTTTAAATTTTGAAGTATTAAATTCTTTAATATCTTCATCATTCAAGTCGTGGGTGACGTTAAGGTCTTTGTTATTTAGAGCTCTTGATATGTGAATCGCATCATTCTCCTTTTCAAAAGTCATGTTTAAAGGTCTTTTAAAATCATCCTTAGTCTCTATATTATCCTTCTTGTTAGTTCTACTGATGTTAACGCTGTTAGTGAATGTTACCTCAGGTGATTTTTCAGAACCTTCTTCAATGTTAAACGTTGTATCTGAAGATTCTTTTAACTCAAATGTAGTATTGCATTTTCTACCAGATTTGCCATCTGTTGCACATTCTCTATGACTACGACTGATAGACTCTTCTTTTCTCAAGTTTAGCCTCCCTGGAGGTATATTTTCTGTCTCGTTAAGATTCGGTCTCTGAGATGTAGATGTTGTATTTCCACTTTCTATATAGTCCATCAATGAATTGGTCATGTCAGAGGAAGGCAGAATATCTTTTTCATCTATATTTACAATAGAGTTGCCCATACCCACTTCTTCATCCTCAAATCCGCTTGGCGGCTTGCAGGTGACTGGATCCAGAAAACTGACCATGGAATCCGTCATGACCTCTTCACTAAAACCTTGACAACCTTCTTTTTCAGATAAGCTAACGAGTGATTCTGTCATAAGCTTCTCATCCTGAAAACCAACTGGAGGTTTGCAGTTCTCATTTGATTTTTCTAAAAAGTTTACCATGGAATCAGTCATAGCTTCATTTTTGTCAAATTGACTGTCTAAAGATGGTATGAAAGAGCCATTGGATATTTCTGAGTCATGCCGCTTTCTATCAAAAGGAGAATTTGTGAACGGAATATCTAATTTAAAGACCCTTGAAACAGAAGCTTTGTCAGAAGCGGTAAAACTTGAGAAAATCTTCCCTTGATTTGTTGAGATGGGTGTTGTTGAGTAATCCGCTAGTTTTGTGTCCTGAAAACCAAAAATAAAATTGCATAGGTGTATTTAGTATCAAACATTCAAGAGCAGCAAACAAACATGAAGAAGTTGTACTGAACTGAGATTAGTCTATAAAACAAAATAAAAAAATGAGTTACTTTTACTAGGTACTTAAAATGCTCATATTCCCTAGGTGTTTGCCAACATAAATATGGTCAACCTACTTAATTGTTTTGGTTAAAATTTCAACATAATTGATTTTTATATTTGAAGATGAAAGATGTTAACTCTAGTTGGCGTGTGTTCACAGAGGGTAAATTTGAGTAAAGTTAGGTGTTAATCATTGCTAGATAAACAAAGGTTTATCATGTTGACAAGTTTGTTAATATAACAAACAATTAAAAATGTTAAGCAGCATGGTTTTTTAATGAGAATAAGGCTGCAACTTTTGACTGAGTAAGGAATTGATTTCTAACAATAAGTTATTAATTGAAAGCTAAGACCTCAGTTAGGACCTATAAAAAATCATGAGATAAAATAAGCCTTACTAAGGTTAAAAAATATAAAAACTGTACAATATTAACAAGCTATTAATTTCATGTGTATTTGTAAAATTTTGTTACTTTTACAGAGTACATACATCAATATTTCTTGCTGAAAAACTAGAGAGAAAATTATGTGAGGCTAATAAAAAGCTGAAGGGAAATTTGTATATACAAATCCACCACCATTAATGGAGTTAGCTTACGTTGAGGCGACTAGCAGTGAGGATGCCAAGGGACGAGCGGTTAAACATGGGCGACTCCGCGACCGACTCAAGCGACGGTCGCAGAACGTGCTTGCGACGGGTGAAAGTGCGACTGTCCACCGACCCACCTACACCAACATGCGACATGAGCTGAATCTAAAGGTAACTGGCTCATACGAACAATACTTGGTTTGGCAAATAAATTGATTACAGGAATCGTAGGACAAGATAGAAACACAACCACCACCGACATTTACCCTACACAGGCTTAATAGTCTGTTAGGGTGATGTACAAGCTTCACTGACACATAATCATCCCTTATAACTACAGCACGAGAAAACAACGTAATGTAGTATTGATAAACTACAGAATTATTTCTTTTAACCAACTGAAAATGTAGCGGATGAGATCAATTAATATTCTAATTACTTTTTGACGAAAGTAATTTAGTACCCAGTGTAGTATACTGAACTGATATCAGTTTGCAGGCATTGAGAACTGATCACACACTGGGGCAAAAAACCCATTTAACCAAGCCATTTTAATCTACAAATCATAATACTGCTTGACACTCATTGTGTAAGATTAATTTTTTTGAGATTTTTAGGCATCAGCTAGAGTTCAAATTTGAGCCAACTGATACAATTGGCCTAGGCCTATTTAAAAATGAATTCACAGAATTTCTTATACTGACTTGTAAACCCAGGTACTGGTAAAGAAGTAACAACGTAGGCTACTATCAATTGGGACAAATGCAATAAAACAGCATTCATTAATAATTTTATTTATTTATGTTATGAAATTGTGAGAATATATTTAGAAACTCAAAGCAAATAAAAAAAATTAGTAAGATAGCTCAATGATCAACTTATTAATGATGGTTTTTAAAAATAACAATAAAATAGAGATCAGGTAGGTACACAAGTTGATAACTACTTACTTGGTGTGTGATAATGATTTGCCTGGATAGGAGACTGATGGTGACCATTGAGGCTTCCTCGTTCAATTCTGTACAGCCTGCAACATTTTTTACTGTGACTTTATGTAGCCTAGGCTACTAAAAAGATGTAAGGTATATACAATTTTGCAAATTTCCCATAGGCTATAAGGAATAAGCTTTCGCCGTAGGAGTCATGGTAAGACCTGGACCCAGCACCGATTTACTGTTTCGTTTTGAGGTCCCCAGAGGTCAAAAACACCATCCTTTACAGTTCATAATATATATATTATATATATATGTACTTACATATTTTTTATGTGTCCGTTAGTACATTAACTCGAGCAAAAGTCATCTGATTTTTATGAAATTCGGTATAAACCTACATTTATTCAAACAATTTCGCAATCCAGCATGATGGGACCATTAGAGCGGGGGGTTGTATGGGGAAATTTTGCAAATTCTTTCCAAACAATTTTTTATAGCTTAAAAACAAATGATTTAGTATATTGAAAATCCTTGGCATGAGCTAAATGGTTAAGGAGAAAATTAAAAAAAAAAACTATACATTAAACATTTTAATGGACGAATTAGAAGTTTTTCAATTTACAATTCAGAATCTGTATTGTCAGCCAACATGTGCTCGGTATTGCAATAGACAACGTCTTCAAAACATACAACATACTCGGTGAATTACTCTACTCCAACAAAGTAGGCTACTGTAACTGTACAATATATTAGGTGGTGTTAATTTTTAATTCAAACAGCTTTAAGTGCATTAATAATACTTTGGCAAAGAGTATCTTGTTTCAAAATTATAGGCAAAGTCACGAAAAAGACAGACTTGTTGCTCGCCACTCCCAGGCTGCCTTCTACAAAAATTGCCGGGCAAAATACCCACAATACCTTAATTGCCACCAGTACTAAAGGTTTTTGTGACAAAGTAATCTTATAATTCATTTTGATAGCCCCAGGATTGCCTTTTATGACTAATAATGGTAGAAACGCATCTTGTCAGACAATCCGTTTGTACACAAAACGATAACAGATGAGCCTATCAATTCACGCAAGTATTTTGCCGCGGGCAGGACTGGTTAGTAAACTGAATCAGGTTATCACGGAAAGACGTGGTCTCTGGATTGTCGTATGTGCTATCAAAAGCTGATATGTGACTAATTGTAGTGACCCGAGAGTGTTGAATATATAATGGGATTCATTGAGTTTTCCATTCAAAATTATTGACAATAATAACCGATTTATATGCTGGATATAAATGATGGTCTCGAAATTCTACAGTACTGCGCGAAAGGAAATTTATTAAATACTTTTAGGAGTTTGAAATATATAAATACATAAAACTAGGGACAGCACAAAATTTTTGAGTGAAAACACTCAATTAATAATGAATCCCATTATATTTTCAACACTTTTCTCAGTCACTACAATAGTCCAATATCAGCTGTTGAAAACGCAGATGACAATCCAGAGACCACGTCGGTCCGTCATAACCTGAACCTGATTCAGTTTACTTCCAGTCCGGGCGATGGCAATGTACACGTGTGAATTTATAGGCCTATCTGTAATCGTTTCGTGTTTTGTGTTGTTAGATGTTTGTAACGTATTCTGACGACATCTCCAGAAATGGATCTTTTGTAAATCCTGTCAATGGTAGAGTTAAAGAACCACCAAAACACATGTAGAAAGTAAAATTTGACAGTGGTATATTAAGGATTGTCTGACAAGGTGCGTTTTTACCATTCTTAGAAGCAATCTTAATTACGAACGGCAAAATGTTGTTGCTGTTGATAGTGATATACTTAGAAACACTTTTTCAGGCTGCTTATACAAAATTATACATTTATTATGACAGCTAGCAAAAAAATATCCCCCCCAAAATCCCCTCAAAAAAAGTCCCCCCCAAAAATTCCTGTGGCGCAAACGTGCCACAGGAATTTTACATTTACAGGTTAAGTGTAAGAGAGGGCCATGTGGCCCTAACTTTGCCTGACTAAATAAATCATTTTTCATTTCATTTCATTTCACATGTGCGCGCACAAGTGCCCCAGTGTGTGGGCCGCTTAAGAGAGCAGGAGCCCGTCTAGTAATAAACAAGTAGTAGCCGAGGGGCAAAACACTGAGAGAGTGAGATGGCGTCTGCCGATGACTCATTTCTTTATTTACTTCATTCGCATTCTACTCTATGATGACCTTTCCACTGAAAAATGGCTATGAGCAGAAGACTACGTTGAACAAAGAATTGAACCTCTATAAATTGAATTTTGGGGAGAATGAACCTTGATAAATCAAACCTTTATCATTCTAAGCCTACTCGATAATTCAAAATTTCCCTGTTTCCCTTGGGATTCAATTTATTGAGGTTCTACTATATTTTCATCAAATTTGGGAAATTTATTTATTTCATAATTAACTATTACCATTTAAGTTAACTATAAAAACACTACAATATTACCTTCTCTGTAGCAGCAAACCTAAAATACTCTTTAGACTACGGTATATCCGTTATTTAAAAAGAGGATAAATATAACATATTTTAATATGAGATATTTTATTTTAATGAAAATCTAATCAGGCAAATGAAAATTCACTTAGTCTGCAGGTTTGATGCGGTGGCCATTAATTTTTTACATTTTGATAGTAGGCCTATAGCATTTAAATAAATTATGCTTTACCAATTCATTATCATTACCCTAAGTAAAAAACGATAAAAAATGTTCAATAAAAAAAAAAAACACATATAACTAACCATCATTTATCTCCTATCAGTAGAAAGATGCCTCTCTTTGTACAGCCTACTTTAACCAAAATAAGGAACATTTTATTTCATTGTCGAATCTCTTACCAAGTTTCATCATCGCCAGGAATTTCTAGAAGTTTGGCATCCAAAATCTCTTCATCAGGCCAAGAGAAGTAATATGCAGGTCTTGGCACCTTGACTTCCATGGTGACAGCAGTTTCTTGTGGTATTTACAAATTATACCCCTAACAGAAACCTAAAAAAAAGAACGGAACATCGAAAATAGTTGGTCTTATGTGAGTATAGATTAGATTTTTTAGGTCACCAATTAGGACTGTAAAAATATGGTGGTATTAACCATATTCAAAAGGGTCAGTATGCTCAGGCATAGAGATAGGGTATTGTCATTTGTTTAAAAGGAAAGCTAGGCCTATATGCATTTGGATAATCACTTTGAAGCAAGCTAATAACAATGCTCATCAATATATTCACTGTGCGGCTCATAAATGGCCAAATGAACCCGATTGCCGGGCGTTTGGCTATCAAATATTTCGGTCTGACGAATAGCAGAGAGTCGACGTAGTTCACTAAAACTTTGACGAAGAGCAGCACTGCTTGGAACGTAGCCAGTCCCATTGTATTGCCAATTAGAGGGAGAAAGACAGAATAACAAGTTGATTTCTAAGCTTGCCAGATGGGGATTTTACGGAGAAATTTACTATCAACCTACATCACAATTATAGACTGATATTACAACCACATTACTAACGCGTACCTAGCAACAGTCCTCGGTGAGAACCTGAGCCACAATGACTGGGCAAACAATGCATATCGCGCTGTGTACCCGCAGTGACGCAGCTGTCTCGCACCACGGCACACCATGTGTCACCAGGGACCCAGCCGCAGCGAATGTGTTAATAAAGCCTTAAAATATTAGGCCTACATTGATATTGTGTGGCATGGGCTTGGCTTCACTACCTAACACTAACTAGGCTAGCTGTTAAAACGATCTATTAGCCAGTGTTGGGGAAGCTACTTAATGTAGCTAGCTACAACTACAGCTACAAAAAAAATGTAGCTACAGCTACAAATTTATCTACTTTTCCAAAGACGTAACTTTTATTCCACGCACATTAGGTAAATATAAAATTAATTGCAACTACATTTTTAATGAACAAACGCTCAAACAACAAAATGTCGGTATTGTATCTAACATTACTTGGAAAACAACCTATGCCTAGATTGTATTTAATTTAGCATCATAAACATAACATTTCAACAACACGACCAAAATAGTTGGGTGTTCCATCATATTTAGGCCTAGTACTTTTTTAAATATTGCATTATTTTAAAGCATATTATATCATTAAGTTCAAAGGACATACGAACTATATTTAAAAAAGCTCATTTTACTTCTGTGCATTCATTTATATGTCTTATATCAACTATTAAAAACAATAAAACTGTAAAACGATCTTAAATTTCTTTAGGTAATTTCCCCTTTGTTAATTTAGCAAACCTTTGAAAAATCTTCGTAATCCAACCAAGGAAGGGCTTGTGACGATGAAACACAATCAACAGCTGAAGCAAAGGTTGATAGACCAGCTTTCTCATTATTTTAAGGTTTATTGTTGGTTTCCATTAAAACCCAAGTTGAAACTATCGAGAAAATACAGAAACTAAATTGATTACTAATGTCCCTATCAATCATATGCAAGCATTCAATAGCTTCTCTTGTCACCGGCAACGTTTAAACGTCGCCTGCATCTAACGATTTTATTTTATCTGGCAGTAATCATAGTAGCAAATGAAGGAAATGAGAGCCAAAAAGATAATCGCCTCCATGTCCACACAACATTGTGGTTGTAATAGATAATGCAACGGCTGCGACCAGCTGTACGAAGACAAGAAAGTAGTTAGGCCTGATTTTCTTGAACATTTCAGTTTGAAAGAGGTTGTTTCTATGTAAGGTTGTGATAAAAAAAATCACAATCTCAATCTATGTTTAAGTAGCGAGAAAAGTAGCTAGCTAAAGTTCCGCTACAATTACTTAAAACGTTTTCTACAGCTTAAGCTACAAAATCTTAAAAGTAGCGTACCAACAGCTGACGCTACAAAAAAAGTTGCGTTCTACTGTAGCGTTGCTACTTGTAGCGCACTACTTCCCAACGCTGCTATTAGCCTATAGTTTCATAAACTTCAGCTGATCAACATGTCGATTATCGTAACATTTTTCCCATCGCATTTTACGCACAGTTATTGTTGGTGAAATTACATAACTCTTATACCAATGGAAAGATGAGATTCTGTTTTATTATATCATTAGAATGAGCCTTATAACATACCGTAAGTATATCGATCTAATCATGAGTTACATTTGAATGAAAATAATGTGCTAACTTGCTGACTTGAAACTTACTGAGCCTGGCTGCACGTAAGTTTACCTACTACACTCATTCGAATGAATATATCGATCGATATATCAAATGAAATAATCGATATATCTATATAATATAACAAGTTTGGTTAATTAGGTTAACCTAACCTAAACTTAACCAATTAAATAATCGATAGGCCTATATCGAATGATCTAGGGGTACAGTTTCTTAACTGGGCTATGCTAATATCGATTGAAACTATCGAAATGAAAATATTGATTAATAAGTTAATCGATATTTTTAAATAGGTATATCTAGGATAAAATTAAACTATCATAACCTAACCTAACCAACCAAACTTGCTGGTGGTGAAAAAATCGCATTGAGGTTTACTAATCGAATCGATAATTTCAATGGATATTAGCATAGCCCAGTTAAGAAACTGTACCCTGAGAATCTAGGCCTACCGTATATCAATATTTTTCATTCAAATGAGTGTACTTAGGACATAAACAAAAGTGCAGCACTTAATCAACCATCACAAAACTGGCCTAAGTTAAGATAGGCCTATTGTCAATTTAGACTGGGGAGCGAGCTGGCGTAGTGGTTAGAGCGCGGGACTTCAGTCCCTGAGGTCCTGGGTTCGATCCCCGTCAAGTCACCAATGGATTTTATCTAAGTGATAATGCCGCAACCCCTAGGTCTAGCCTGAAGTAATGTGAAAAACAATCCCAGGCTCGTGCCTAGCGTCCTTAGGAAAAAAAAAAAAAAAAAAATTGTCAATTTAGACTTCAAGGTCATCTAGTAACAGAGTTGACTGAAAGGTAGGGCCTACTGAGGTCGAGTCGGCCGATTTACCGAACAGGCACGGTAGGCACGTGCCTAGGGCGCGAGGCAATAGGCTTTTTTGGGGGGCGCCAAAATTTTGGAAAATAAAAAAATTGCTGGTTGTTTGCATGCGATTGCGGTAAACTTCTGATGATCCCTCGCAGCCGTGTAGACATCGTAATCGTCTCCCGCGTTTGCGGCAAGATTCTTACTATTTTCAGCGGTCAGGTCGTTTAGACATAGGTAATTATCGTCTTCCATGATCGAAGCAATTTATGAGCATATCCCGCGGTGTTGAGGAGATTATCATCGTCTACCGCAAATGAGGCAAAATTCTGATCTTTTCCCGCGGTCGTAAGGACATTATCTTCGTCTTGCGCGATTGCGGTCAAATTCTGACCACCCCTCGCGGCCGTGAAGACATCATTATATCGTCCCACGCGGTCGTGTGAACATATTAATCGCCTCCCACGATTGTGACAAAATGGTAATCATCTCCCTCGGTCATGTGGAGATCATCATCCTCTTCCGCAAATTAGGCAAAGTAACTTACTGAACTTTTCCCGCGATCGTATGGCCATTATCATCGTCTTCCGTGGTCACGGCAATATTCTGATCATCCCTCGCGGCCGTGTAGAAATTATTATTGTATCTCCCGCGGTCCTGTAGACATCGTACTTACTTAACCGTCTCCCGCGGTCGTGTACTTATACATGGTAATCGTCTCCCGCGATTGCAGCAAAATGGTTCCGCAGTTGTGTGGAGATCATCATTGTATTCCGCAATCGCGGTAAAATTCTTGCTGTTTCGCGTGGTCGTGTGGACATAATCATCGTCTTCCGTGATCGTGGCAATATTCTGAATATCTCGCGGCCGAGTGTAGACATATTATTGTCTCGCGCGGTCAAGGAAACTGTTATCATGCGCGAATTTGAAAACTCCAGGTAGAAATACAAAATTCACAAATAATTCCCGGTTCATAAAATTCCCGCATGATTCCCGGATTTCCCGGCCGGTGGACACCCTTATATAAATATTGCAAAGGGGCGTTACTATTAGTTGTGCCTAGGGCGCTAACAGGGTCAAAAACGGGCCTGGGTGGAGTTAACACTGAGGCACCTTTTCAAATGCTTTCTCTCACATTTAGGCCTATAATCTTCCGGGAGAAAGTTTACCCCGCACTGAGATTCTAGGGGGATTCCTTAATTAGGTCTAGAACCAGTTAAGACACCTTAGGTAAGCTTAGGGAGAGTGGCGGTAAAGAAAAATGTAAAGGAGTAAAATAGGCCGGTTTTAGCCTAAATAAATACACTTTAGACCAAGTTCAAAAGACAAATAAACCAGATGCAACTAGGATTTCAATCATGTAAATAGGAGAAGTTTCATCAAGTAGGCTAAGTTAGACTAGCCTAGGCCTACCTTAGTCTAAGTAATTAGAGCAGATTGTCCTAGGCTTTAGATTACTCCCAAGTTCACACAATCTTCCCTGATCCAGACCCAAGTGGTCACATTTTTCAATGAGAACGAAAATAAGTTTTAGCCATCGTAAGTTAATGTCCATTCAAAAGATTCCATGAAAATATAAGTTAGCAGCTAGCAGCTGACCATCTAACTTTGCGCTAGTGAAATTCCTAAGGATAGCTTAATGAATGCCTATTATTGAGAGCATAGAATGGGAATTGAATACACTTACATGATGAATTTAACATCACCAACATTTTTTATAGGTGGTTTTAAAGACAGAAGAGACACACATATAATTTCTATTTGGCAATTGGGCTCAGATCAGATCACAGACAGAGACAACACGGAACGAAAGAAAAACGGAACGGAATTGCTCAAAACGCAAATGCTGCATCCATCCAATTCCAATCCATCCATCCGTCATCCGATCCGCATCCGAACCGCTGAATTTTTATTTCAGGATTAGTGTTGCCTACAGTATTATTTTGAGGCTTCTGATTGGCTGAGGGAACATCATTACCGCGACGATACGGTTGATTCCAACGGCCTCGGTGGCGTAGTGGACAGAGTGCTGGGCTGAATTTGAGGCATTTATAATTTTATTCTATTAACAAAAAGAATTTTTCAATTACTAAACCTTCGTTATAGTCAATCAGAAGCCTCTAAATGACACTGTTGGCAAAATTAATCCTGAAAAACAAATTGTGCATCCGGCCCACTCATCCACATTCCACAATCCAGCATTCCAGCGATAATAAAATAATAACAACCAATCGCCTTACAACCACTCGACGTTCTGTACCCACGAGCATCTCTGCTTCCACAAGCACAGAAGGCCTTGGAACAGTTCCTGGGATAACAGCTATTTGTGTAATAGCTTCACTGTATATTATCTTTATTGGACCTGTTTAGATAATCTTATCTAAACAGAGAGATTATCCTGTTTTTGGTCTAATCTAAACGTCATAGTTTTTGTAACATATGACATCACAAAAATAGCCAAAACAACCACAGTCTTAAACTTCTCTTATAGGTGTACAAACAGTGTTGCGACTCTACTATCGCCTTACTACGAACAAGGAATGGCAACTTGCAACTCAGTAGAAAATGAAGCTGACTCAATGTACCTCGATGACATAAACAAGCTACACCTTGACAAAAGCCTCTTTAAAGTTCTGGTGTTCAAACAGGCTGAGAAACGCTCACTGAACAGCCTAGGCTTTAATGTTTCAACAATCCACGAGTTTCAAGGGAAGCAGGCAACCCACATAGCAGTTGTAAGAGTAAACAGGACAAAAGACAATATCTATGACTCCATACCCCACTGCTTGGTTGCCATCTCGAGGCACACAAAAGCTTTTAGGTACTACACCCCCACAGAAGGTGACACCCTTAGTAAATGGATAAAAATTATAAAGTCATATGGAACACAGGACCTAGCACAACACTTTCAAACTCCCTCCTAATGCAGGGCCGGTTCTAGGAATTTTTCAGAGTTAAGCGAATACCCGAATCAGCGCCACTTAGGATTCCTCCCACCACCCCCCTCCTCAAACCGATAACATAACATAACCGTATTTGTGAATTTTTCCCAATAATTTTGGGAAGAACTTTTTTATAAGTTTAGGTTAGAAGAATACTTAAGACTGTTTATTATTCGCATAAATTTAACATTTGTACACTTATACTCATCATTTAAACTTTAGCAAAACCAAAGGCCACACTAAAAAAAAATACCCCCGCCGCAGCAAACCTGCCGTCTAAGCGAATTTCCATTTGGCCGAATTGATTTTCAATTGATCTATTTAAATAACATTAGGTTTAACGAGTACCTAGGTTTGCTGCTACAAGGAAACTAATAAAGTAGTGTGTTTTTAGTAAAATATTGATAGCTTACTATAAAATAAATAAATTTGCCAAGTTTGATCAAAATATATCCATAAACAAGCAAACTACAACATTTTACAATATTCTCCATAAGAATAACATGGGAATTTTAAATTTACCATTTTTTTAGTTTTCTCCGTAACCAATAACCGTACAAAAACACTTTGATATACTGAATTGTTTGTTTTTTTTAAGCTCTTTAAGAAGGTTTAGAGAAAAATTGGGAAATTTTGTGTTTTGAGGGTAAAAAGTGAGAAAAACCAATTTTTACCCCATAAAACCCTGTTCCCATGGTCCGATCATGTTGGATCGCGAACTCATTCAAGTTTATTCCGCCTTACACCTTCAAACCAAATTTCATCAAAATCGGATAAAAATTACTCAAGTTATCGTGTTCACGGACACATATATATATATATAAAAATCTATATATATATATATATACATATATAAAAATTTGAACGAATGGTGTTTTTGGCCTCTGGGGACATTAAAATGAAAAAGTGAATCGGTCCCGGGCCTAAGTCTTACCATGAGACCTACGGTAATAGCTACTTCCCTATAGGGAAATTCGCTAACAGGCCCTAATCAAGGCCACACTAATGCTCGTCAAGCATGGCGTCACGATAGAAGACGGCAAAGACGTAATGTTTACCGTTTGTGATCAGCTGCTTGTTTTAATATTTCCTTGGAAAATAAATAAATAAATAAAACTTACGTCATTGCCGTCTTCTATCGGGGTCTGACTTAGGGGAGGTACGAATGAGGCATTTAGTTCAAAATTCCTCCGTGAACAGCGCTGTAGTAGAGAGCACTTTGGCAATGAAGGTTTGCTAATCGCAAAAATAGTTCTGTTCATAAAATAAAATTATAAATGTCCCAAATTCAATTTTATTATTTTTTAATTATAAAATTAAACCATGATAACGTAACCGAACTAACCAAACTTGCTGATAAAGAAATAATATAACAAAAGTTTAGTAATCGGAAAAATAATTCTGTTTATTAAATAAAACTAGAATTTGCTCAAATTTTGTAATGACTTAATAATAAAATGAAACTGTAATAACCGAACCAAACCAACCAAACTTGCTGATTATAAAAAAATCTTGGACAAAAAGTTGATGCTACCAACAGGATTCGAACCCTGGACCTACAGTATATCAGCCCGGCACGCTAACCATTAGACCACCGAGGCCGATGGCTATCTACCGTTTTGTTACGGTAATGGCGTTCCCTCAGCTAATAAGAAGCCCACAGCTGTCATCGTAGCCTCTTCTATACCTCCCCTGAGTAAATACCCTTCTATCGTGACTTCTTTGGGCTAACTGGACTCGCCACCAGATGATTTAAACAAAAATCTACTCATTGATTTAGCTTGTTTTTTATCTTCCTCTTCCAAATTCGCCTTACCCTTTTTATAATAAGTGCCAGACGTTTTTTTTTCTGCCATTGTTTTCTTAGTATCGGCTCGCTGGATGTTTTACTCATTTATTCAGTTTATACTTTTTTCTTATTTAATGCGCTAATTATAAATTAGACTTAAAACCCTCGTAATCATTCACTTATCAACAATCATAAATCATCAAAACAACGCCATTACGATACTGATACACGCTAATACACTAAATACCCCCGCCGCAGCAAACCTGCAGACTAAGCGAATTTCCATTTGACTGATTGGATTTACACTGAAATGTCTACTTAAAAATATAACATTTATATTCCCGATTTAAATAGAATTAGTTTAACAAGTACTTAGGTTTGCTGCATCAGGGAGGGTTAAACTGTTTTTTTTTTTTTTTTTGTAAAATGTTAATAATTAGTAAGAAATAAAAACATTTTCCAAATTTGATCAAAATATATTCATAAACAAGAAAACTACAACAGTTTACTTATTCTCCATAAGAATAACATGGGAATTTTTAATTTACAATTTTTTGGAATTTTCTCCGTAGCCATTAGGCGCATAATAACGCTTCAATATACTAAATTATTCGTTTTTTTAAGCTCTACAAAATGGTTTGGAAAGAAATTGCTAAATTTTATGTTTTTTGGGTCAAAAATGGGAAAACCCTATTTTTACCCCATAAAACCCCCCGTAAACCCCCGTTCCCATGATCCGATCATGCTGGATCGCGAACTCGTTCAAATAAACGTAGGTTTACACGTTTGTACCAAATTTCATCAAAATCGGATCATTTTTGCTTGAGTTATCGTGCTGACGGACACACACACATATATATATATATATATATATATATATATAAATATATAAATATATATATATATATGAATTTGAACGGATGGTGTTTTTGGCCTCTAGGGACCTCAAAACGAAAAAAAAAATCGGTCCCGCGTCCAGGTCTTACCATGAGTACCACGGTAATAGCTTATTCCCTATATGGGAAATTCGCTAAAAAGTGCAATACAAAGTAGTGCTCTGCTCTAGGATAAGAGTCAGAAGGGAGGGAAGGGAGGGGGAAGTTTCTTGTTGTGACAATTGGCGCTGCGCGCTTCTCGAGCATGAGTGAGTCGTGAAATGAAACCCACAGGCGCCGCGCCGTACGTTGCCGAGCGTCAGCTCACTAAAAAATCGAAACTGCAAATGCAATTGAGTCCTTGAGTTGTAGTGCTGTACAAATATACACATTTTTCAAGTGCTGTTGGTACAAACAGAATAAACGCCTTTATTGTGGTATAATTGAACTCTGAGCGAAAATAAACAAAATTACGGTTGTTCACGTAAAAAAAATTGTTCCGTTGGCGCCACGGCGCCACTTTTTCGTGGCGCCATATGCGGCCGCGTAGTTCGCGTATGGGTTAAACCGGCCCTGTCCTAATGAACACTCAACACCAAGAAACCGGCATCAATCAGACGTCACACTGAATGAACCCTGTCAATGTAGCTGAGTACTGCAACGAACTCACCACTGAAGCTGCCATGATTAATATAAAAGTTGATAAAAAACAGCTAAACATCCTTGGTGTCTACCGGTCACCAAACGCCCCTATAGGACCTGCCCTAGATACTATTGGCAACATTCTAGATGCAACACAAACCCAATCAAAATCATTGATCATAATGGGAGATATAAATATTGACAGACTGAAAGATAATGCAGGAAATAGACTATTAATTGAGGAAATATCCACTCATAACATCAGAAGACTTTCCCTCCCAGCAACCAGAATCACAAAAACTAGTGCCACTTCCATTGCACAAACATCTCAGACTCAAACATCCTCTTCACCGTATTCGAAGCTGGCCTATCTGATCACACTGGACAAACATGCACTGTTAACACCCTCAATGAAAAACCACCAAAGCCAGTGGCAAGCTTAAAACGAAACTTTTGCACTCAGAATCTCAACACACTAAAACAAACCTTAAAAGGGGAGCAATGGGACAATGTAAAAAATGCTCAGGATGCTGATGATGCCTACAAGCTTTTCTATGAAACAGTGAGGAGGGCCCTGGACCACTCATGCCCCATTAAAAAGACAAGACCCAGAAGAAAAACAAAACCTAGCGCATACCGTGACGAACAGGCAAGTCACTTAAAAGAGATCTATCTGAACTCCCTGAAAGCATTTCAGATCTCAGGGTCTATTGCTGATAAAGCCATCATGACTGCTAGAAAAAAAGATTATGACCTAAAATTGAGAAATCTTCAACAAAAAGCTATATCCAACCATATTGCTCGATCACAAAATAAATCCAAAGCCTTGTGGAATGTCGTAAACTCTGGGCGTAAAACCAAACAATCACTGGAACACAAATTTCAACTAAAAATCGACGGACAGCTGGAAGAAAATCCTAAAACTATAGCAAACCATATCAACCTCTACTTCTCTCAGATTGGCGAAAAAACCCTAACCACAAATCAACAGTCAAATCACTCACCAAGCAAAGATACAAACCCACGTCAATTTCAGTTTCAACCCGTAACCATCAGAGATGTAAAAGACGCCATAGCAACCTTAAAACCCAAGCTATCGTGTGGAATTGACGAGATCCCAGCTAAAGCTGTAAAACACTGTGCAAATCAACTGGTGATTCCGTTAGCAACTATCATCAATAAATCTTTTTTGCTAAGCCAGTTCCCATCCCTGCTGAAGATCTCAAAAATATACCCTAAACACAAAAAAGGCTCTGCTACAGATGTTGAAAACTACCGCCCTATTTCACTCATATCCGTATTCTCCAAAGTAATTGAAAAAATTGTTCTAACCCAATTAATGGCTTTTTTTGCAGAAGAAAAACTCATCAGCCAAAACCAACATGGATTCATTAAGGGAAGGTCCACCTCAAGTGCACTTACAAATATTGTTGAGTTCATCATCGACCAGCTAGAAGAACGCAAACATGCCTCAGCAGTAATGCTTGACTACAGCAAGGCATTTGACTGTCTGGGCCACAAGCTAATCACAAGAAAACTAGCATCCCTTGGAATTAAAGGCAGGGCGAATGCATGGTTTGCTAACTACCTTCACGGACGAACGCAGGTTGTCGAAACTCAAGAATCATCCAATGGAATGAAGAAAACATACATATCAGAGCCACAGCCGGTCAAGAGAGGAGTCCCACAAGGGTCTGTGCTTGGCCCTGTCATGTATGTTCTATTTACAAATGACTTCCCTAGCATGATCAAGGCAAACAGTACGTCTGAAAGTATCATGTACGCAGACGATACTACTATCCTCTTGCACAACAACAGTGCAGAACAACTGAACACAGACTCTCTCACCACACTCACCAGAGCAAAAATCTACTGCAAACAAAATGATCTGGCCCTCAACCATACAAAAACTGTTCGAATGAATTTCAGCCGTAAAACAGAGCAAATAGCTGACCTAACAGATGTGAAAACTGTACAAAATTTCAAATTATTAGGAATTACACTAGATACTGGCCTTACCTGGAACAATCACATCGATGATCTTTGTAAGAAACTCCGCACTGGTGTACACGTGGTAAGAAGAATTAGATGGGTTGGTGACTTATTATCAGCAAAAACAGCGTACCATGCTTTAATGGAGTCACATATACAATATGGTCTTGTTGTCTGGGGCGGGACTACTGAAAGCAACCTTAACAGAGTATTGAAGCTGCAGAAAAAAGCGATACGTATACTTGCCAACCTTCAACCCTCAGGCAGCTGCAGGGAAGCTTTCAGACCGCTTGGCATTCTAACTGTTGTAAATCTTTACATCAAAGCAGTAGTCCTTCTGGTGAGTGAGTCTGATCTGCCAAAAAGTGCAAATTTTCACACTTACAACACCAGGCGAGGAAACGACTTCATTCTGCCAGTACATCACCACGCAGTACGCCAGAAAACCATCCTACACTGGCCGCAAAGTTCACAATAGCCTACCACCATCACTGAAGTCACTGAAGGGAAAACCGCTGAAAACACAACTTCACAAGTGGCTGATAGACAGAACTGCCTACTCCTTGAAGGAATTCCTTGAATCCGATCCGAATCATTAACTCGAAATAAATTTTTCATGATATTGTTAAGCAAAAAAACTCTTGTAGCCACTAGTTTTAAGTTATATTATTGTATTTTTATTGACGCCATTGTATTATTCTTAATGAAAATACAAAATAAAGAATGATTTGATTAGATAGTTGTTTCTTTCAACAGTTACAGTTGCGAACTGTGCATTGTGATTTTGTAAAGGTGTTTATTCTTTACTGTTTGTTTACTTTTGACTTGAGCTGTTTGAAAAGGTGTTTTATGATTATGAAAATTAAAGTGTTGTAAGTGTGCTGAAGCTGATTATTTGTTATTAGGTACGGTATTGACAATTAAATATTTTGCGTGCATATGTTATGAAGTTTTAAATATTCACTCTTGAATGTTCATTCTTAAATCTTAATCTTAAATGTTCATTCTTGAAGCTATTTAAATGTTATTAGTTAGGTCAATGGTCATAGATTAAACATATACTCCCATATATCAAAATACTTTATTGACCTACTCCAATCTTTCACATCTTTAATATTAGTTTTTTTCCATCCAAGCAAGACAATGACTTGATCAGTAATTCACTAAAAAAGTAATTCACTGGTGGGTTGTCGGGGAGGCACGCAGGGCTAGGGATATACAATTTGGTTACGGATATACATTTTGTATATCCCTAGCCCTGGGTGGCACGTCGACCCGCCACATCGCTCATAGGTGACAACGTGCACATGGTCGCCTTTAACTGCATGCCGCGGCCTGGTAGAATTGTCAACGTCGCAAGTGGCGTTGTTTAGCGGTAGACGTCCCGTAAGATAACATGGCAGACAGGTGACATCAGCTCATTAATTCGCAATTTATTGATTTAAAATTTTAAAATTTATTGATTTTTATTGAAGAAATGTCAAGTGATGACCTTCCACCGTAATCTCTCCCCCATTGTCCACGAGTACAACATACGCAGTGAGCCCTTAACTCGTGAACTGCAGGTAAAGGATCTCGGTGTCACATTGTTACCTTCATTGAACCCTGAGTTGCATGTGCGAAACATTTGCAGCAGAGCAAACAAAATGCTCGGATTTGTCTCCCGCTTCTCAAAAGGCTTAAGCGACACGGCCTTAAAGACTTTGTACTGCGCTTTGGTACGCCAAATCCTTGAATATGGCTCTCCAGTATGGAACCCCCACCAGAAGTTTCTCATAGAGGAACTAGAGTCTATTCAAAGAAGATTTCTCCGAATGGTGGGTGTCAGGAACGGTCTTCCCTATCGTAAGGTTCCCATCGAGGAAGTATCTCGTGATCTTCCTAAAAGAGCTTGTTAATATTACTATACAACATTTGTTATACGTCTCTATGTCAACATCATTAAAACTGCATGTAACCCATAGGGACCATTGTAATCCCCTTATCTGCCCTTCAATAAATATTGCTATATATATTTAAAAAGAAAACAAAGGGTAGAAGGCCGAAGGGGACCCCACAATTTACACATTCCAAAATCATCATCAACTGTAACCAAAATTCTTTTGTCATTTGTCATTGCCATCTATACTTCATATTTAGCCATATTTAGGCATTTTTATTTTGGTTAAACATTTATATGCATGTTCGTCAGTATCTTGAGTTCTTTCTTATTGTTCAAAAGTGAAAAAATGGAGTTGTCCGTTAAAATGTAAAATAAATAAATAATTAAATTTAAATTTATGAACATAAATTTATTAAAATATTAAAAATTAAACATACAAAATTGAAACCCGAATCAATATTATTTAAAAATCTATATCTGTACATTTTTAAGTGGGTTCCTTCGAAGTGGCAACGTCGAAAGTGGTGTTGTAACAGCTGTTTTGTTTGGAAGCAGCTAATGGTATTTGCGTATTTACGAAAGATTATGGTTACTGGACTATGACAATATTACAATATTATACTGTATTAGAATTTTACATTTCTGCTGCCATTATTATGTACAACTTATATAGGTGCCTGCCACAAACCGCCATGGAATTAGTAGCGCTAGAAATATTTATATTTGTTAAAAAGAAAAAAGAAAAAAAATGTAAATTTTGTTTGTTAAATTTTTGTGAATCAATTGGACCTCGCCGACAAGTTTTGCAAACTTGGCGAGGCCAAGATTTTGTCAAATGCTTTAGAAAAACGCTTATTTAGAAGCATTTACTAGTCATTTCCCACTTAAAAATCTACTATTATCAAAAAAATAAAAACTACAAGCCTACAGATAAGAAATGAATAAATTAACATAAATATATTTTAAATCTGTTAATAACTAAGCTGACAATGGTGGAGATCCTAAACCCTAGGAATGCAAGCTTGCATTAGCGTGTGGCGGAGAGGTAGAGCGCACCCTTAACTATTTATTTATTTTTATTTGTTTACATATTTTTTCATACTGTGATCATGGCCTTAGTGCCAAAATACGTATCAGTTTAAATAAAAATAATTTTCATGGTACTCTGGTTTTTATTTTTTCACTTAGGCTTATGTATTGGAACAGTATCCCTAAAAAGTGAACAGAGCTATCAAAAAATAAATTTATTATATGTATATAAATTTGAACGGATGGTGTTTTTGGCCTCCAGGGACCTCAAAAATAACAATTAAATCGGTCCCGGGTCTAGATCTTACCATGAGACCTACAGTAATAGATTATTCCCTATATGGAAAATTCGCTAACAAAAAGTACTGACTGCCGAATGTAAAAACATAAAATTTTTCATAAAGATCTTCCTAAATAACGATAAATATAATACGCATCCACGCAACACGATAAAAAAATACAAACGATTATTGTTTTACCTTGCAAGATAACTAGTTGAAGACATTGTTTACCTAAAAAAAATTTCGAATTGACGGCTCATTGGAAAGAGCGTGTTGCGTAGATTTGCAAACTGACCTTACATTTTTTAAAGTCCCTTGGGTTCTGCCCCTTTGTGGCTTTTAAAGTTCCCATGTTTTCTTTAAGAAGAACATCTTTGTTTACATTATGATCAGCTGGATAAGGATAATTTAATTGCTATTAATATTTAAGTTCAAGGAAAAGCTTCCTACAAAATTTAATTTTACCGACAGAAGGAGTCTATCTCGGCCTTTATTGAAAAAACCACCTCAAAATTTCTAAAATCTTTAAACAATGTTCCTGGTGCATTCACTTTTCATCTTGGTGAAGCAACTGAGAACAGGAGGCTACGTGGAAGGCTGCCTCAAGATCTATTGGATGAATGAAGCCTAAAGACGATTAAATTATTCTCTAAATTAATTATGTTACAGAGTGTCTCAGGTTTGAGCGAACCCACGATGTTATCTTCTATTACTTATTTAATACGCAAGCAGGTTTTTTGTGACAATTACTCCTCCGAAACTACTGAACCGATTGACATGTTTTTGGTGTCATTAGAAAGACCGTAACGTGAAGTTGTGCAGGAAACTTTCTTTTTATGGAAATAATTAGAGAGTGAGGCCCTGGGTCCCTTTAAAGTTTCGTATTTCGTATTTCTTAAAAACTGATGTATAAATTTAGTCTTTTACATTAATAACGTCGATTTAACAAACATTTCCGTTTTTGTCCCATCAAAATCGGACAATGTTTACGGTTTGTGAGCTATAAACAAAAAACAAAGTAGTGTAGATCCCAAAATCCAAATGTTTGTTAAATTAAATTTATACATCGGTTTTTAGCTTTGTTAATGACAATTATGGAACTAGAGCGTTCACGGAAGTATCACTAATCGGATTATAAAGGGTCGGGCGGTACCGGCCGATAATGACCCTGCCCGTCCGTCTGGGCTGCCTCAACTTAGCGAGACCTATAATGGATATTTAGTGCTATTAAGATGAAGACTGAAATTTGTAAATGTACTGGTGACAATGGGTGATACCATGCAGACTACATTTAGGCCCCTGAATATATGGTTTGACCTAGAAATAATTAGAACACAGATGAAACCATTGTTGTTCGATAGTGAAAAGTATTGTGAATAACATATCAAAAGTCTCCAAAAATATCTTTGGTGGAACACCCCCATTCCAGGCCAAATCCAGTAGTTTTTTGCTTTTTATTGAAATTCTGACTTTCCAATCAATATTGGTGAAAAGTCGTCAATACATTTAATGTTCCTCCTGAAATTACCTTTAAAATGATACCAAATACATGTACCTACAACAAAAAATAAACCCCATAGAAATAATAAAATATTTCAAATAAAAATATTTGTTATAAATTGATGTAATAGTCCATAAGCAAACTAAAAAAAAAAAAAAAACAGACACAGGGATTGTATAAAAATTTGCAAGTGCAAGTAAACACTTTATGGTTTTATTAAACACTTTATGGTTTTATTTTTATTGTTGTGGTGTGCAAAGTGACATACTAAAAGTTGCAAAAAAATCAGTCCACGTGAAACCCCTCAAATTAAAGAAAAAAATGGCGGCTTTTCCCAATATTGGACAAATTTTGCAACAAAAGATACCACATGTTTTTTGCACATTTTTCGAGATATTGACTTGGAACCACGACCAATATTTTTTGGATGGTCCGTACTTAATTTCAATAGGGGACGCTATTTTGGGCCGCCATCTTGGATCAGCCATTTTGGATCTGCCATATTGGATATAAATATTTTTTAATGTAATTATGGTGTTGTGACATATCATTATGAACTAGATTTCAACGCTAATTTCAATGCTGAAATCCGTTTTTAAATCAGTTTTTTCGTTGCTTAAGATATATTAAAACGAAACTCTCCCCTATACATCACTTATGGACATATCGTACTTTGAAAATGTGTTTTGATTATTTTTCTCCAAGTATTATTAATGCTTGTAGTTCGTTCTAGCCTTGAAATATTCAGTGATAAAAGAGCTTTCATTGTAGTTAGCTTTAATTTTGTTTTATTTATAGTTAAAACAGACTAGTAATGGACGAGGTACAAACCCCAACACAAAATTAAATTAAACTTTTTTTATCAGTTTTTGTTCAAAGATTTATATCTCGGGTTGCTAATATGATAACAAGTTCGTTCTGGTATCAAAGTATACTCAGTAAATGTTTGGCTTTAATTTTATTGATTATTAAATTACACATGACAAATTTAAAACAAATCATGTAGGCCTACCTTCAACGAACTATTGAATGAATTATTGCTGTTTTGAAATTTGTATTTAGTTAAAGACATTTATCCCCAATTCTAAATAACTCCCAATAAGGAATCCATAGCTAAAATAAAAGTCAGTACTTGAACGAATAGCTATGACGAGTTTTCCCGTTTTCGCTCTGCACAACACTACAAAATAAAACCATAAAACGTTTTGTTGAAATTTTTTAAAGGCCATATCCTATATTTATCTAAATATAATTTCCAAGTTACACAGTTACAGTTATTTGTAAGTACAGTTATTTATAAGTAAGTTAGTCATATGTACCATCAGTCAAACACCACTTCCAATCTGTTGGATCTGCTGGTGAACTATTTCCACGACATACTTGAACCTGATGGTACAACCTTAGGCTGTGGTAGTTTTCAATGTGTTTTTAGATTGTCAAAGTACGAAACGTCCATAAGAAATGTATGGGAGAGAGTTTTAGTTTTTATATATCTTAAAATCATAAAACCCTATTTAAAAACTGATTTCAGCATTGAAATCAGCGTGGAAATCTAGTTCATAATGATGTGTCACAACACTATAATTACATTAAAAAATATTTATATCCAATATGGCAGATCCAAAATGGCTGATCCAAGATGGCGGCCCCAAAAGCGTCCCCTATTGAAATTAAGTACGGACCATCCAAAAAATATCGGTCGTGGTTCCAAGTCAATATCTCGAAAAATGCGCAAAAAACACGTGATATCTTTTTTTTGCAAAATTTTTCCAAAATTGGGAAAAGCCGCCATTTTTTCCTTAATTTAGGGGTTTCCCGTGGACTGATTTTTTGCAACTTTTGGTATGTCACTCTGCACACCACAACAATAAAAATAAAACCATAAAATGTTTACTTGCAAATTTTTATGAGATCCCTGTGTACGTTATTTTTAGTTTGCTTATGGACTATTACCATTATATTACTTCATCTATGCTATTACATTAATTTATAACAAATATTTTTATTTGAAATATTTTATTATTCCTACGGGGTTTATTTTTTGTTGTAGGTACATGTATTTGGTATCATTTTAAAGGTAATTTCAGGAGGAACATTAAATGTATTGACGACTTTTCACCAATATTGATTGGAAAGTCAGAATTTTAATAAAAAGCAAAAAAAACTACTGGATTTTGCCGCCAAAGATATTTTTGGAGACTTTTG